GAATAAATTTATTGGAAAAGAAGAAAGATCTAAAATCAATAATTTAATTTTCTAATTTAGGAAAACAGAAAAAGAAGAGCAAGTTAAATCAAAAGAGAAGAAAAGGAATAATGAAAGCTTGAGTGGAAAATACTGAAATTGAAAAGAGAAAAAAGAGAAATCAATAAAATAAATATCTAATTATTTGAAAAGATCAGTAAAATTGATACAAATCCAGGTGTGGTGATATACACCTATAATTCTAGCACTTGGGAATTTGAGGCAGGAAGATTGCCATGAGTTCAAGGCCAGTATGGATTACATAATGTGATCCTGTCTCAAACCAAACCAAAAGAAAACAAATAAAAAATAAGTAAAACTGATACATGTCTATTCCAAGCAAACTAAGGAGAGAGAGGATACAAATTAATACTGGAGACTAAAAAAGACATTAAAAGGATAACAAATGTTATGACATGTGTCTAGATGTCCCCCAAAGCCTCATGTCTTCATAGGTGGGGCTTTTTCAAGGTGACTGGGTTTAGGGAGTGTGATACTGGAATTAAGGGTTATGAAAACTATATCAGCCCACTGGCTGGAATTAGCATAGTTCTGAGTGTGACTGAATGAATTTACTGAAGGGAGAAGACCCACCTGAATGTGGGTGGCACCAACTAACAGGACAGATGGAATAAAAAGGGGAAGGGATACTCACTGCCTGCTGCTTCCTGCCTGTCACACCATGAGCTGTTTCTCCTCTGCCATGCTGCCCCTCTAAAAAATGAGGTAAAATAATCCTTTCCTCCTTTAACTTGTGGGTGTTAGGTATTGTGTCTCAGTGACAAGAAAGTAACTAAGACAGATTTCAGTACAGGAGAACTGGGATTGTTTCTGTGATGCTTCCTGACCACATGGTTCAGAAGCCTCTGGAACTGGCTAGTGGGGAGAGTTTTGAAAGGTTGGCAGATGCCAGATGAAGCAGCAGCTCTGGAATGCTGGAAGTTGAACTTGATAGGAGATTCTGATTAGAGCTCAGAGGACCAGAATGCTGATAAAAATATAGTCAGTAGAGACCAATTGGCAAGTTTCAGTTAGGAACAAGGACTGTATTGGGTATTGAATGCCAGGCCATATGTGTTGTACCTTGGCAGAAAACTTGTCTGCATTTTGAACATGTCCAGAAGGCTGAGATTAAGTGTGGATGACTAATCTGGTAGAAGAAATTTCAAGGCAGTCTGATGTTGAGGTGGAGGCATGGCTACTGTTGGGGGCTTTTAGATAGAGCTATATTAAAAATCAAGAGCAAAAGAGAATGACTTAAAAAGTTTTGAGTTTGGCCAGAGAGAAAACTATAATGTTCTGTATTTGGTTTGATTTTGCTGTACCTGATTCAAAGAACAACTATTGTGAAGACAACGAGATATACTGTGGTACCTATTTCTGTTATCCTGGTATCCTGCTGTGATGTTCTGTACCAATTTTTCTGCACTATCTCAATTGGCTTTGTTCTGTCTTGTTCTGTTGTATTTTACTAACTTCAAAATAATTAAAAAAATAAAAAAGAAATCAGCATGGTAAGCCTATATATTATTCTAACTGTCTAACAATGTGGAAAAGCAAGACAATGAAGATCAATGGTTGCCAGGGGTTTGGAGGCAAAGGGAAGATGAACAGATCTCTGTATGGAAGACACTTGTTATTATGCATTTGTTCTGGTGAATAGAATGTATAGTACCAAGAGTGAACTTTAATGTGGAGCATAGGCTCTGAGTGACTGTGTGTTAATGTAGATTTATCAATGGTTAAAAAAAAAACTTCCATTCAACTGAGGGAAGCTAATTGTTATGGTTCATATCTGGTGTCCCCCAAAGCCTCATGCGCTCATAGGTGGAGATCATGGTGATGTGATAGTCATCAGTGGACTAATCTATGTGAACGTGTGGCTAAATGTGATGTTGGCAGGTGAAACCTGGTTAGAGGTGGGTCAGTGGGGGCGTGGCCTAGAAGGATTGATCCCCCTCCCTCTTCCTGATCACACTTAGCTTCCTGCTACGGTGCCATAAGCAAACATCTTCTGCCATACCCTGCATGCCATCCTGCCTTGGAGACAACTGACTATGGACTGCAACCTCTACAAACTGTGAGCCAAAATAAACCTTTCTTTCTTTAACCTGTGGGTGTGAAGTATTTTGTTCCAGCAAAGAAAAATAGCAAAGACTGATGAGTCTATACATGTGTGAGGGCAAGGGTGATATGGAAAGTCTCTGTGTCTTCTTCTCAATTTTGCTTTGAACCTAAAACTGGTGCACACACACCGCTGCTGGTGGCACATGCCTATATTCCCAGTATTCTTGGAGCCTGGTACAGGAGGACCAAAAGGCCAAGCCCAACCTGGACAATTTAACAATTTAGGGACGCCTTGTATCAAAATAAAAATTAAAAGGGTCTGGGATGTTGCTCAGTGTGAAAGTTCAGTCCCCATTACCACAAAAGGGGTGGGGGAGCTAGGGTGTAGCTCAGTGGTAAACTGCACATGTAGCATACATGAGGCTCTGCGCATGCACACACATGAGCACACACACATCCTTGCTGTCCTGTGGCCGTTGTGTCTTTCCTCTGGATTCATTTACCATCTGCCACATGGAAGAGTAAAACCATGTGTCCAGGGCACAGACACCTCTGTCTGTCTTTAACCAAAGTTCGCCTTCCTCTTATAAGACAGCAGTTAGTTTACAAAGAAGATTTAAGTTCCAGTTTTATCCGGAGAGCTGAACACAGAAGTTGTAGTAAATAATGGATATTTTACTTACTTACTTACTTATTTATTTATGTATTTTTGGTATCAAGAATCAAACTCAGGACCTTGCACTTGCCAAGCATGCACTTGTACCACTGTATCTACCCCCAGCTCTAATAATGGATACTCTTCTGACCAATCAAATTAATAAATAACCAAAGGAAAGTGTGAATAAGATACTAGAATAAACTAATATATTAAAAGAGAGAATACCCCTAATGCAGAAAAAAAAGCTACACTAACTTTGATATTATTGTCTTGAGACAGGGTCTTACTATGTAAACCAGGAGAATCCTCCTGCCTCTGTTTCCTGAGTGCTAGAGTTAGCCCAGCTTTACTAACTCTTTACCTACCTGATAGAGATAGAGACAGCTATCAAGCCTGGCTGGAAACCTCCTTTTCCTCCTGAGTCTTTTATTTAAGACAAATTCTCAGGATTATTTAATCCATCAGCACATATATTTCTTTTCTTTTTTTCTTCCTGCTTTCCTTTGTTTTTGTTTTGTTTTTTTTGAGACAGAGATTCACTATACAGTTTAGGTTGGCCTTGAGCTAACTCTGTTGCTCGGGCTAGCCCTGAACTTGTGACAGTCCTCTGAGTTCAGCCTCCCCAGTGCAGGGACTACAGGCATGCGCCACCACACCTAGCCAGCACTCTTCTGAGACTGCCTATGAGCAATCCCATTTCCTTAGCTACTAAGGATCCAGGGGTGGCTAGAAATTGGTGGAGGAAAAAGAACGTGCACCTCAGAAGACCTGGACTGGAGTCTTAGCTCTCGCGGCCTTGTCTGAGTGACCTGTGCCTGTTACTAATCCCAGCTAACGCATGTTCCCTTAATTTATTCCTCACAAACACTCTCCAGTCACTTACTGCGTACCAAAGCATCACTCAGTGCACAGGAGACCTAGAAATGAGTAAAACAGATGTGGTCCCCTCCAAGGAGCACATATTCCCAGAGACTGGCAGGGAATCGGTGAGAAATAACCTCAGGGCAGTGGGCAGTGCTATCAAGAAATGGGGTGCGTGATAGACATGTCTGTGTGTCTGCAGGGCTTCTTAGACAAAGGCTGATCATGGCAGGCCAGCAAGGCTGAGCTGAGACCGGAAAGTCCCAGCAAGGGGTAAGCGGGAAAAGAGGATTCCAAGAAGAGGAGCCTGCAAGCCCCGAGGTGGGACTGCAGGAAAATCAAAGTGGGTACCGGCTACGGTAGATCGATGGTTTTGATGCAGTGCCCAAGCGGTCCGACAAGTTCCTGGTGGTGTCTCCGGTTTGGGGGACAGGGCAGAGGCTCTGCCAGGCTCCCACCATTCTACCCAGTTCCCCGCTCCTCACAAGCATGCGTACACACGCACACACACACACACACACACACACAGAGGCACAAAAGGCCTTCTTTAACCTGACATATATCCTGGGTTACTGCTTAATTTTTAGTTTGAAAACTAAATTCCAGGATCAAAAAATACTTCAGCTCAAACGTATTTTCTGTTCTTGAGTTGTCTGACTATAAAGTCGTCATATAACCTCAGCGAGGGGTCTTGAGAGGTGGATTCTACTGTCTTTGGCTGACAGAGGGCCAAGGACTGCAGCCTGCAGTAACCACACTGTGCTGTCACCAGGATCTTCCGTTTCTTCTGTGCCCTCCAAGCCATCCCCGACAGGGAGAACACAGACTCTGCCTCTCCCAGGCAGGGTCTGCATCACTCCTGTGCTTGCTGTCCAGATGCAATAATGCTTCCCATCCTGCACAAGAAAGCTTTGTGGAGATACCTGAGGAAAGGTTCCAGTTTTTTCCAACCTGTAAAATGCAAAGTTGGCCAGTTTTCCCTTTTCAAAACCGCCAAGCTTATATCTTTCCCTGTCTCCAGGGAGCCTGGCAGCTCCCACATAGTCTCCATTGTCCTGGGGTTGGGGAAAAACGCTGCGCAGAATGTGAAATCATTTTCTGTAACACGGATCTAATTAGCTCTTTGATTGACAGGGGAGGCAGAGGACAAGAGGGATTTAAACAATTTGCTTCTCACATAATTCAAGAAAAGCAAAGAACCAGACGGGGAGAGAGAGAGAAAAGAGAAGAAGGGAAGGAATTTTGGAGACGGAGCTGGAGGAGGAACGAGGACGGGGAGGGGGAGAATATCAAGTGACCAAAGTATGAATCCTTTGTCCTTCCAAAGTCACCTCTGCTTCCAGGCGCCCCCTCCTCTCTCCCAGGCAGAACTTACTTGGCTGCTGCCGATTTCTCTTTCTGACTCCATCTCGCTGCCCTCCAGTCCCCTCGCTGGGTGCCGGGCAGACTGCGTGGGCTCCTGTGCTTTGCTGTCTGCGGTTCTGTGCTTTCTTGGGGTGGGAGAGAGCCCACAGCTGCAGGACAGACGTGCTATTCATCCGGCCCATCTGGGGTGCCTGCCTTGCCTGCAGCCCCTGGGGGCGGTGTGCATGTGCACACGAGTGTAAGCATTTGTGTCTGCGTGTGTCAGCACATGTGTGCTCTAGGACGTGGCATGTGGCAGGCACATCAATAGGTTGCCTTTTGAGTTGGTAGTGACAGCATCTTTTCATCCCTGGCTCCAGTGCCACCGGCCCCCTCCCTGGCCTCATCTGAGCTCACCCGCGCGAGGGAGGGTAGCTTTACTACTGGGAAAGAAATCTTGCATATGTACCAAGAAAATTGGAAAACAGTCGGAGGATATTTTCTGAGTTCACACTAGAAGAGCTGAGGAAGGTCACCAATCACCTACCGCAGTGAGCCTTCAACATAGTCTCAAGACCGAAGTTTGGAAATTTCTGCAATTCTTTGCTTGGTTCCATCAAACCCTATCAGGGGAAAAGAAGAGGAGACTAGAGAAGAAGGGAGGGGAAGAGAGGAGAGGGGAGGGGAAGAGAGGGGGGGAGGGGAGAGGAGGGGAGGGGAGAGGAGAGGAGGGGAGAGGAGAGGAGAGGAGAGGAAAAGAAAATAGACACCAAAGTACAAGCTGTATTCTACAAGTAAATAAACAATAAACGTTCATTAACAAATTGTTTGAAACACTCAGCTTTTCCCTTGATGGAGGTGCGGCTCAAATTCTTCAAATCCTTTTCATCCAACTGGTTGAATTTTCTCTGCTTCTCTTTTTAGGAAGCATTTCTTTCTCCTGTTTATCTTAGCACCTGAAACTCGTCAGCTTCTTCCAGAAGCCGGTTTTAGACACTTGGTGGGGCTGGCGTTGGTGTGGATGTTCGCCTGTGCCTGGCAGAGCGATGGTCAGGGAGAAATCTCCTTTCAGAGTTTACAGAGGTGGAAGGAGGAGCAGAGTCACATGTACCGCACCACACTCCAGTGTACAAACGTGTTAAAAATAGGCAGTTTCTTTATTTCTATAAATGTTACAAGTTCCCTTTCTGCCAGACAGTGGTGGGAAAGAGGCTTGGATAGTGGGATGAGGACTGAGGACTATGCTTTACTCTAATCTCATAAGCACAATTACATTTCAGTAATTTAAGTGGCAGATAGTGCAGTTTAGGTAGGTTGGTTTTCAGATTTCCAGTGCCCCTCCTTCCTGAAGATGGCATCTAGGGACACGGGAGCCTGGGCTTATCCCGTAGCCTGGCCACCTGGTTCTCTGCTGTGGCCATCTATGGGACAGGACTTCCCTGCCTGCCACTTGCTGGCTGTGAGGAGAGGCTGGTCCTGCTCCTGGCTTCCTGCTGGCATTGGCGGCCCAGTCTCCTTCTGCTGCTGTGGACCTGATAGTCTGCCTCACTGGCTGCCATCTTTGATCTTTTTATGTCACAATCGGCCGTGTGACCTGGGCATGCCTTGTGTCGGCGGTAGCAAACAGATGGCACATATACTGAAGCAGCACTGTGAGCCCTCTTTGTTACACACAAGCCGAGGGCATGAGGTGTTTTTTCTGAACTAGAACCTCAGTATCCAGGTTTAATACAGCATTAGTACTTTGCGAATGTTGGGTTGCGGTTTAGGCATCTCTAAATGGTTCGCCGTCACTGCCTTGTAAACATCCCAGTGGTAGCGAAGTCCACCCCCTAAAATGAACCTCCTGGAAACTCTCCTACTGGACACTTGGCTAATGCTCTGGATCCCACTGGGCACGAGAGAGCAGGACTGTCAAGGAAGGATTGGGAGGAGGCAAGCTCAGCACCACTTCTGGAAAACAGTTTGTTTTGATCTGGCTGGTGCAGGGCAGCCTTTGAGGTGGTCTCCTTCCAGATTCCCAAATGGCAGTAAGACATAGAACTTTCTTCTTTTTCAATATTCCATCAAAAAAACTACCAATAATACCTACACCTCCTCCCATAATAACATCTGTGTTGGTCAGTTTTCTATGCTGTGGCAAAATTCCTGAGCAAATCAATTTAAAAGGAGAAAGGGTTTATTTGCGCTCCTGATTTCAGAGATTTTAGTCTATGGTCACCTGACCCTGCCACTCTGGGCCTGTGGTGGGAGCACATGGTAAAGGAGATCTGTTCATCCCATGCCCAGAAAACAAAGAGAAAAAAGGAAGAGAAGGAGTCAGGTCTCGTTATCTGCTTCAAGAATAAGACACCCAATGACCTGGCTTCCCCCCACTCGGTCCCCCTTCCTAAAGGTTTCCACCACCTCCCAATGGCACAACGTGTGGGCCTCACAAGGACACTCCAGGTACCAACTGTGACAGTGCCACTATGTGATAAGCACCGGTCTAAGTGCTTCAGTGCACACTCGCCTTCTTTGGTTTCCACAACAATTTTGGAAGTAGATATTATCATAACACGGATTTACAGGGAAGGAAACAAGAACAAGAGATTAAGTAGCTGCCCAAGATCAGACCGATTTGAATACAGGCAGACTCAACTTCTTGTGAAAGTTCATGATCTTTTTAAATTTTTTCTTCTCCTCCTCCTCCTCCTCCTCGTACCTCTTCTTTTAGCCTGGTCCTAAGGTTTGAATGCAGGACCTTCACACTGAGCCCATGTTTACAATTTTTATTTTGAGACAGTATCTTCCTAAGTCACCAAATTGCTCAGGCTTGGCTTGAACTTGGGATCCTCTGGGATCATGGAGCACACCAATACTTCTGGTTTAAAGTCAGTGCTCTTCTCCTTGATTTGATCCCAGAGAGCAGAAATCAAGTCCGATTTCTGAATGCCTGCTTTTCCTTCCTCTGCTTTACTTTTTCCCATAATCCATGCTGTAGGCTCAGAAAAGGTGAGCTTTGTCCTTTTCCCTTGTTTGACTAGAATGTATTTTATATGGAATTCCATCATAGTAATTCAAAGAGGAAGTAGAAAAATTTAGAAAATCCTCTTACTCAACAAAACCTGGCTATTAAAAAATATTGTCTTGATGGAAAAACTTATTTTGGGCATTGGAAAATGTATTAACTATTTCCTTTTCTTTGTATCTTTGTTGTGACAACTCCCATTATCCTTTAGATAATATAGATATATTTGGCAAGATAGAGGGAAAATCAGAGCACGAAAATGTGAAAGTGAAAAACACCTGAATATATTTCCAAGGAAAGTTCCCTGTTAATGAACACACTGGCTTTCAAAGGAAACAGCTGTGACTGGTTATGATAATGTTCAATTTTGTTTGCCAAGAACTTTCTGGATTTGGATTATTCCGTTTAAAAGCATCATTTGGGAGTAAATAAAAAACAGGACTTGGAAATTAGTTTATCTTCCCTGTCACACTGTGACTGTCGACCAGAGATCAGCAAACTTTTCCTGTAGGGGGTCAGAGAGCCAGTATGTTTTAGCCTTTGTGCGTCATATGGTGTCTGTCACAATTATTTAGCTCTGCTATGACAGCAAAAAGGTATAGTCGTAGACAATACATAAACAAATGGTGGCGGTGTTCCAATAAAACTTTATTTACAAAGGTAGTCAGATGCTTTAAAAACAAGACCACATTTGCCCCACAGGTTATATGCTGACCCTTGCTCTAAAATTTAAGTAGAGACTTTGAAGTCTAATTCTCACTTGAGAGGTAACAGCTGAAGATGTTATGCTGAGCCCTCCGGGGATATCCAGGGATCAAAAGCATGCCGCAGCGAGACTCAGGCCTGACAGGTGGCAGGTGACGACATTTGAAATACTGTACTTCTGACATTCTGAAACTGCTCCCACACAGAGGCTCTTTGCTCACGATGGGAAGGGTTTCTCACTGTCTTTACTGCTAGGGTGATTTTTTTTTTTTTTTTTTTTTTGTCTTTTTGAGACAGCGTCTCTCTATGCAGTTCAGGCTGGCCTTGAGCTCACTTTGTAGCCCAGCCTGGTCTCCAACTCACAAAGTTCCTCCTGCCTCAGCCTCTCGAGTGCTGGGATTACAGGCATGTGCCACCATGCCCGGCTCTCGCTAGGGTGATTTTTGTAGTGTAAAGCCCAAGGGATATTTCTAGGGAAATGGCCTTTTGAGGGAGTATATTTTTAGAACATGCTTGAATTTACAGGTAAGTAAACCCCGAGAGTGACTTGGAAAGCGGATGGGGTAGGGAAGACAGAGGCCTAGGGGTCTGGTTGTGTGGGAAGAGCACAATCATGGAGAGCTGGAGAAACTGGCGGTGAGAAGACGGTCTTGCTGACGCCGAGGTGTGGGCCTGTAGTCCCGGGGACGCTAAAGGCTGGCAGAGCAGGATCACTTGAGGCCAGAAATCGGAGGGCAGAGCTGGCATGTAGCAAGAATCTGCTGCAAAAAACACAAACCAAAAAGAAAAGTAAAAAAAAAAGTTTAAAAGAGATCCCTTGTCATGTTTTTTTTTTTTTTTTTTGGCGGTACTGGGGATCAAACTCACGATCTCGCGCTTGCCAGGCAGGCACTTATGCCGCTGAGCTAAATCCCCAGCCCTTCTTGTCATGTTTTCAGTTAATAATTTTGACTTAGGGGCAGGGGTATAGCTCAGCGACTTAAGTGCCTGTTTGGCAAACGCGAGGTTGTGAGATCGATCCCCAGCACCAAAAAAAATTTTTTGAATCAAAACTTTTAAATTAACATAAAAATTGTACCTATTTATGGAGTGCAATGTGATGCTCTGACAGGCGTCCTCACTAAAGTCAACGTAAACACAACTACTTCCTCAAACATTTCCTTCTTTTCCTTCCTTCCTTCCTTCCTTCCTTCCTTCCTTCCTTCCTTCCTTCCTTTCATTTTCTGATTACAGGAAGTTGAACCCTGGCACTCTAGTGATGAGCCACATCCTTAGCCCCTGCTTTTTTCCCTTGAAATAGGGTCTCCCTGAGTTGCCAGGCTGACCTCAAACTCCCAGGCTTCCTTTACATCTCTTTGTGGTGAAAACATTCAAAATCCTTTCTGTTAGATTCTTTGAAATATACAGTACTTACCATTATCTGTAGTCACGGTAATGTGAATAGTGGGGAGAGCCCTCGGTAAATGTCTGCTGGCCTGAGTCTTCTGACTGCTGAATCGCTGTGTTCTTAGACGACTTACTTGACTTCCTTGGATTTTATATCTTTTATTGTGAGAAATGAAACTGTCAAATTGATTCCTAAGATGTTTGCAGCTCTTAAATCCTGTTTCTAATATTTTTATATTAAACACTTCCTGAGTAACAGGGAGTTTTTGTTTGGTTGGTTCTGTTGGTT